ACATGGCACAGTAAATTGTGAGGTGCTACCCTGTTGCCTGGAAAACTATATCCCAAAGGAAACTATCTAAAATACTGAAGGAAGATCTGGGTGATTGATTTCATGGACTAGATACTGTATTTTCAAATTCTATATTATGTTGAAGAGACAACTTAAGCTTTTGGCATCTGATTTTTAATGTTCAAGTTTCTTTCTTCCTACTAGGGTCTTCCTCCACTGCTGCCATACTGAATACTAATAAGCATCACCACCATGCTTTCAAGCTTGTTTTGTGCATCGATAACAGATCAGAAAAGCCACTGCCCAGCAATCATTTCTGCTGCAGCCTTGATGAGTTTCATCCTGCCACCAGAGAAGGCTCTTATCACTGTCTGGAGATTGTTAAGTATTGGACAGAGCAGAAGGAGCACATGAGAAGCCATCAGGAAGTTCAGATGACGCAGCCAGGCATCCAGGGCACAGTTCTCTGGGTCTTTATAAGACTTCCTGAAAGTCCAGTGGGGATGGAGACCATGCTCCGTATGCTGATTCTGCAGTCAGATTCTGCGAGAACCCTCTTGAGATGCCAGCAAGCAACATTTTTCATGAATACGTGTTTGTATGGTTCTGCAAATACTTCAGGCTATTACAGTATTTATGCAATTCTGTAATAATATCTCACTTTAAGTTTTTATTCTCCCTACATTTATGACTGTAAAACCAATAGAATAAAAGGAAAAAATATCAACCCTATGGAAACTTTGCTTTTCTTGTTCAGTTCCTGGATACACATCCCTCCCTTGTAATTTCACACTCTGGAGACCTAGCTGTTCATTGCAAACTGGGATAACAAGGTAAAAAATCTCTGCTTTTCCAGCTGGAAACACTGAGTGGAATCGTGAAGTAGGAGATATTGAAAGCTCTGAGCTATCTGTACAAGCAGAAGGCAAAAAGAAGATACAGGTGTGCTGGGTCTTGCAGCACTTTTCAATTTGCACTGTAGTAATGTAGAACATCTGAATGAATCATGTTGGGAGCTCCATGTTTCATAATTCCCAATCCCTCCAAGCAGGAGGCCCATTGTGTGATCCCACTGGGGAATGTGCTGGTGCTGGGATTTGCAACATGCAGGCACAAACAACGATTTGAAGAGTAAGGCAGGGCCTGGAGGGAACCATGCCTATCTCTTCCAGTTTATCAGTGCTTATAGCATCCTTTGGCCATGCCAAAATCTCCAGATGTTTAGCGGACAATCAAGACAGCCAGGAAAGCTGCTGGCTGAGGAAGCAGCTTCAGTCCCTGCAGTATGAAAGTATACCTAAGGCTGAGCACAACTGGCGGGGAGTGTCTCCTGCATTAAGCACATAAAATAACTCCAAGCAGTGTTGTCCTAGTTAGGACAGCTGAGACCAGTTCATCATGGTATGGGTGTAACCCAAAACTGTGTATTCTATAGCCTTCCATGCCATTTCCCAGAAATTGTTAGCAGTAGAGGCCTGTAGATGTTCCTGTCCTCATACCCTTTTATGGAATTCCTCGCTCTGAGGGAAGGACTGGGAATTCCTGCCTGAACTGAAGAATATATAAACTTGGAGTTTTGGAACCTTTTTACCACTCATGGGATCCAGAGGAAGACTGCAGCTCACCGCTCTCAACCAGACTGCAGCTCACCACCCTCAACTAGACTGCAATCACCACTTTTGACCAGACTGCAACAGCTCTCCCACCAGCAGGTTTTTTCCCCTCTCCCTTTACTTTGGACTCAGGGGGGGGCCCCAAGAAACACCACTTTGTTCATGCCCCAGGGTGCTGGGTTATACATTTGGGTTTTGTGGGTTAAAACCAAATTGCTTGTCTGTATAATTGTACTTATTTTATTATTTTATTAAATTGTTATTCTGACTTATAATCTCTCTTTTGAGTTGAGTTCATTTCCCCTGCTGCTTAACTTTTAAACCAGCACAAGTGTGTGTAGCACAGCTAAAGTATTTTTCCTCCTGTACAGGACCTCATGTTGGATGTCACATGCTGTCTTTCTGGTCATTATAGTGTTTACTCTTTGTTTCCTTAGGGAGAAATCAAATCACTTGATCGATGTGTAGTTGAGTACAGCAGGGTCCATAACCATTCATGCTCAGGGCTCAGGCCTTGCCCACTAAAGGCAGGAGGACAAACTTCCTGTGGTCTGTTTGGAAGCTTGCCTGTTCCAAGTCAGCCCAGCGAAATTTTTCACACCAGTTTTGTCTGCCAGAGTGAATTTGCAATCTGCTGTATCTCTACTGTGTCCCTACTGGCATGTAAGGGCCTAGGGGTGGGTCTACCACACTATTGGCCCATAAAGGTAACTGCAGAAGGCAGCTGGTCTGCTCTCATTCTCTTCTGTCCCTCTGGACTGGTATAAACATTGTGCCAACTTGTAGGGTAGGATAATTCTTAACTGTGAGCTAATAAGAAGATTATAGCGTGGAGATATCAACATCCTCCCTGCCCTGGAACTTGGGTGCATTCACCCATGTGAAGAGACAAGCCCCTTGTAGGCAGGAAGATTACCTCTCTCAATATCAGCCCCATGCCTTTAAAAGCCCCAGCAGTCCTTCAGCTGGGATGGTTAATGGTAACAATGCCAACAGCAGCAACAGCAATGGAGTTTTAGCTATATCTGATGCGTGTTTGAAAGCGTGGGGGGAAACCTCCGTATCACAAAAATGTATGAGAGATTTATAAAACAAAGGTAGCCTTCAAAACACTTGCCAACCTTTGGTGCCTCCCCTTCTGTTCTGACCTCTGGTCTTACAGCAACCCACTTTCTCCTTCCCCTTCAGAGGCTCTGCTCATCATCACTGGCTATGTCTGAACAAGTGGTCTCTTCTCTGCCAAATTCCTCCAATGTTTCTTCTATGAACCAAATCTGACTTCCATTTCTGCGAATATTTAGTACATATGTGATTAAATAATGAAATTTCTGCTCATAGGAGCACTAAAGAGTCAGCACCAGGGAGAGGAGAAAAAACTACTCAGACCAGAGGACAATGCTGGACATGAATACATCCAGGCTGAAACCCCTCTGAAGGGACAAGTAGCAGGGGACTGGACTCCATGACCCTGAAGACCCTTTCTATCCTGACTTCCAAGTATCAGCATATGGGAGAGAAAGAGAAAGCAAGTGGGGGGAAGACATGCTTGTGTTTGCAAGGGTCTGGAGTGTGTTTTTGCATTGTTTCATGGTTATCTGTTTGTTATGTTGCAAAGTCCAAGGGCACTGTGCACTGAGCTGGAGTAATGCTGTGTGCAGCTGTGGGAATGATGCAGTGTCCTACTCTTCAATGGGCATGTTCTGGGTGTTGTTGAGAGCTGGACTTCAGGAGCTGTTTCCAGCTAGGAACAACATTCCTCCAGCCAACACCCTCATAAGGGGTGCCAGACGCCCTTGTGTACAAGGAGATGGCAGCCATGCCCAGTTTCCCATGCTGTACCAATAGCCATCCCATCCCACCTGTCCTGTTTCGTCTGTTATCAAAAACCAGTCCTGTACAGCTATTCAGATGTGCCTGTGCCTTGTTTATTACTGCAAACTGTGGGCAGATGAACCAAGTAAGACTGGGGCTAGTACCATATGCCTCTGCTCTGGCCGATCCCCACAGTCAGGGGAGGAAACTTCCTCCCAGAAATCACAAGCCCCCACACCTCGGGTGACTGGAGCCTTGAGGTATATTTGCCACAGTCCTCTTGAGATGTTACCTTCTGCCCAGGTACATATAAAGGAAGGAGACACCAAGAATAGCACAGCCACTACCTCCATAAGGGATAGGCTGTAAAGATAAGTGTATAAGCATTAGTGAAATGTTCACTATATACCCAGTCTGTATTTACCTTAGGTTGAAAAAATAATGATACTACATAAAAATCATCCCTCAGGGAGTTATTCTTGGACACCTAAAGCATTTGAGGTTTAATTACTTTATAATGCCAAATTAAAGAATATCTTGTAACAAATAATATGAAGTGGTATTTGAGAACAGAAAAAGTGTGGTTAAAAAATCTCTAGCAGAAGAACTAAATTCCTATAGCTGAAGCACATGGATTAGCTGAACAGTCCACTCTGAATTTAATCTGTTTTAGATTCAGAAGAATCTAAACCTAGGATGTATTCTGAATGCAGTTTGTGTTTCTCTGCATGTGCTCATTGCATTTATTCTCCTACTGCACAGTGTCACCAATTGTCATGTTTCAACAAGTATCTTCAACTCAGTGTTAGTCAGCCTTTAAGCAAAAGCCAGCTGCTGGATTTTCTAAACTGCTCTTTTAGAAAATGCTACTTTTGCTGGTAGCTCTCCAACAATTTCACTGAGAAGGACAACAGTGTTGTACAGGCTAATATTGAAAGTTGAAAGATAGAGATCCTTTTTACGCATCTACTTCTCTTCCTGTTTTGAAGTATATTGGGTCAGCATTCTGTGTCCACTTAGGTCAATTACGAGTAATGAATGGGGACGATAGGCTTGCCAACAATGAAGGAAGCATCTCAAATAACTTGTGCATTTACATCACAGATTTTGGGTGGTATTCCAAAGTACCTGAACACTTTATCTGCCTTGATCTGCTGGGTGACATTGTTGACAATTCAAAATTACAAGTAAAAAAATAAAGACAGTTTAATAGGATAGTGCCAGGTTGTCCCTGATGACATGTCAATCCTTTGGGTCAAATTTTTCTTCCCTCACTCACATGGTACCAAAATAATGACAAAATTAGATGCTCATTTGTAAGACCTTTATTTATATAAATAATATGCACCATATCAATCAAATATACAACACCATGTTTGCAAATTAATGCTTTGCAAAGAACTCTCATTGCTATTCCTGGTCGAAATTTCTCAAGCTGAGAGTGCCTCAGGAGCCTGAAGTTGTAGGAAGCTTGTGATGCACCCAGTTGTGACCTCTCCTAGTAGGAGAAGGCACTGTGGGAGCAGGGCTCTCCACTGTCCTCCTGCAGCTGGCCTGTCACCAGAAGAGGTGTTCTGAGGAGCAACCCAGGAGCCTTCAGCCTTACCCAGAAAGAGGAACAGGATGGAGTAGAGAACTTGCAACCATTACAAAGGAAATGACAGAGCAAACCCAGAGTGTGGGACACACTAGCCTTGGCAAAGCCTAAATACGTTAGACTGCAGAGGACAATCCATCTGTAATTTGGGTGGTGAGCAGTCATGTACTGGGAACCGCTATCTTCAGCTTGTACAGACTGTCCACCAGATCAGGTACTAAGGGGGTCCTCTAGTGGAAACATAGTGATTGCCAGG